GTCTCCGGGGCTCCCCGGCCCGCAGCCCCTCCTGGTCGCGCCGCGCGTGCGGTCGGGGGCAGCTGGCCTTGGGGCTGCTGGGTGCTGGACGGCGGCCCGGGGCCTCCCGCGTCCGGCTCTTTGTGTGAACCCCTCTCGGGGACCCGCCTTCTGCTCCCCGATCCCAGGGGTGCGGGCGTGGACTCCCCTCGACCCACCGCGAGAAGAACCAGGAAGCCCGCCTTGTGCCCAGTTCTACTTTGGGAGCGGGTATTTCTCAAGCATTTTTCTCCTCTAGAAGTTCGTTATAGGTCAAGAGGAAATTTAGACGAGGAAAATCATTCAAACTATGTCAAAATCTTTATGTCGGTTGGCATATGTGTGTACATGTAGAAACACTTGATTTTAAGCAGAAATATGAATATCTTCTCCATCTACCTTCTAAAATTGATTTATGAAATGTATTTGGTGTGTTGCAGCGTGCGAATCATAAGCTCCATGAGTTTATTTGTGTAACAACCACCCAGAGAACATATACTATAAATTTTTCTAAAAATTTAATATGTTGCACACATCTACTAATACAAATTTTTGAAAACAGCTAGCACCTTAATTTTCATGTGAGGGGAAGCATGGTTGTGTTCTATATAATCCTTTAGGCTTCTGCGATTTTTTTTTCTTGTTTTTCTCTTAATATTGTAAGTGATATAGACTATCTGGCTTCATACATTTTTGAATTGTAGTCTCATTCCCTAAATCTCTTCACGTGAAATTTCTAGGTCAAGGATACTGTAAGGCTTTGAATACTGCCTATATTATTTCCTTCCAAAAAACAGTTTCTTTAACAGTTGGAATGTTAGAGTGCCTGATAGACCCATACCAACTCTGGGTGTTAGTACTGACTTTAACCTCTGAGAGGTGCAAATGATAGTTTGCTTAAATTTGCTTTTTAAAAACTCAAATATTTTTATGCAGTTTGCTAATGTTTGTTTATTTTTGCTTTTCAATGCTGGGGATGCTAAGCAAGTGCTTTGTCACTGAGTTATATAACACCAGTCCATTTATTTTTAAATTTTGTATCTGATACCTAAGCATGTGTTTCCTGACAGTGCAGAAATGTTACATGTTCACATGGACAGACATAAAAACATTCCCTCTATGTTTGGGTCTTTGACATTGGTGGGGAGCTTCTGTTTCATGAAATCACGAAGATGTTCTTCTATTATTAAATGCTTCTGTTTTATTCCATGTGTACCTTTTCCTTCTTTTCCAGGTGGGAAGCCCATGCTATAAGTGACTGAATAATTAACCCTTCCTTCCTTGATGTGAAATGTCATTCTTTTCATAGCCTGAATTCTTTTTTTTTTTTTCTTTTGTGGTGCTGGTAATTGAACCTTGGGCCACACACATGCTAACATAGTGCTCTGCCACCAAAATTGTACCCCCAACCCCTGAATTTTTGTATACAGATTTTTTCTGGACTGTTTATATTGGTAGGATTTTAATTTGTTCTGTTGATCCTTTTCCCTTTTAGACTGTAACATCCAGGAGGGTAGTTTATCTGTTTTATTTAAAGCTCTGTTCACTGCCATGGTATGGAATGGTGCTCCTTACACACTAGGTTGACAGTATGTTTGGGGAATGAATGATTCTTCCATAATACTAGGTTCTTATAATTTTTAAAAACTTACTGGGCACTCGGTGTGGTGGCTCACGCCTGTAATCCCAGCACTTGGCAAGCTGAGGCAGGAGGATCACTTCCAGTCTGAGACCAGTCTGGGCTACATAGTGAACTCAAGGCCAGCCTGAACTACACACAGAGAGACCCTGTCTCAAAAAAAAAAATTACTGGGCAAGTTGTCACTCATCATTATTCGTTTTATTGTTTTAAAATTTGTAATTGACATAATGTACATATTTGTGTGGTACAGTGTGATAATACACCGTACTGTATAATGAACAAGTCAGGATGGTGAACATATCTATGACCTCACATGTTTATTATTCCTTTGTGTCTTTTGAAATATATTGTTATTAACCGTAGTCACCCTGCTGAGCTCTAGAACTTTAAAACTTATCCCTCCTTTCTGTTTGTATTTTTATACCTGATAACCAACCTCTATTGTACTGTGCCTTCTACGGCCTCTGGTAACTACTATTATGTTCCCTGCTTCTGTGAGATCAGCTTATTTAGCTTTCATGAGTGAGAACATGTAATATTTGTCCTCATAGGTAGTCCTTAAAAAATTTCCTGGCTGCTGTATAACATAATTAAGTTTAATCATTTTTTCATAATCACTTTAAAATATTTTTATTTAAGATACAGGTTCACTAGGATTATATTAAGTTTATAAATTAATTTCAAAGAATGACAAATTAGCCTATCAAGACTCTCCTGCCCTGGATTACAGCATGTCTTTCTGTTTTCATCTTCCTTTATATATCTAATCTTCATAAAGCAAACTGTCTAAACACTCACCTTCTTTTTGGAGATACCTTATACATCTTATCCATTATAGGTATTTTTATTGCTGGTGTTGCAGAAGTCTCACTTCTCTTGGCTTCCTTTCCTTTTTTGCCTTCTGCTCTGCCTCTTTGGAATCTGCACCTTCCCTAGGAAGCCCCCACAGGAAGGAAAGAGAAGACAATGGCTGCTGGGCCTCTGCCTTTGGGAGCTCAGGTGAGCTCATTTTTCTCTCTCAAACCTCTTTCTTCCATACAGTATGTGGGATTCACTGCAGAGAATAGGCCTACTGGCCTATTAGAATGTTGGGTATTTCTTGCAAAACACCCCTGAGTGTCCCTTCTGTTCTCAGACGCCAGTGGATAGCTGGGTTCTTGACAGTATTCAGTGGTCAAAAAAAGGTTGAAAATCCTATTCATTTTCCACAAAGCATTATTTCCTGTTGGTCATGATGGAAATAACAGCATTAGCAATGTCTACTGTACACTTGACATTGTTACAATTTTACGTGTTTTCCTGAAAGTTCAAATAAAATAGTGTAAGGGAAAAGGATCTAGCTTAGTCCCTGGACTGGTGGAGATACTAAGTAGGTGGTAGGCATCCTTAGTATTATTCTAGCCAAGAGCCGGTGCTTTAGTGTGAGTGGTGGGGTGAGTGCTGCAGTGACTGATGGTCAGACACGCTGGACTACAGTGGATGGAATCACATAGCAAGCTTGGGATCAAGTGCCATGCAGGAAGAGCTTGTTTGGTGCACTGGTGGGCATGGGGATGGAAGAAGAGTCTTAGAGATGAGTCTGAGGAATTCTGGTGAGGGAATTCACATAATAAAAGCTTTTCTAGGTAAAAGCAGTGTCTGTCAGAAAGAGGAAATGAAGGAACTGAAATCATAAGTAAGAAGCCCAGATTTTTTTCCCCCCAAGAGGTTTTTTAAAATTGGAATCTATTAAGGTTTCCCAGAATCTGGAACTGTTTTTCTGAAAAAGAAAGTATGGTATCAGGAGGAGATCATGGCCCTGTGTGCTTTTTTATTTTCTTTAAGTTTAAGCCTTTGTTGCCTGCAGGACTAAATGTGTTTTCTTTTTTCCAAAGATCGTGTGTTAGGGTTCTCTTAATAGGTAATTTGTTTATCAAAGAAAACAGTTTAAGAAGGCTTTGTAGAGCCGTGGGAGGTATACACTGTTGCAAATTCTGTGTAGTATTTTCTCTCCTCAGTATAATCAAGCTCATTTTAAAAGGCAGACTAACTCAGCGGCTGTAGCTGTAGCTCAGGGGTAGAGCACTTGCCTAGAATGTGCAGTGGCTTCGATCTCCAGAACCACCACCACAAAAAAGTAATGAGTGTTAGAGAGGAAGTTTCTGAAAGAGGGAAGGTTTAAGGGGCATGTTCAGAGTGGAACGCTCAGGATTCTCATTGGCGAAGGTTGTAGTTTGGTTATTAGCTTGCTTGATTTTATGTAGTTAAAATAGTGTTCATTGAATGTTTAAATCAATTCTTTTTGAGATGTAATTCATATAAAATAACTCACTTGCAGCATAAAATTTTTTGTTTATGCCCTAATACAGCTATCATCCTGATCAAGATGTAGGACATTTTCATCACCCTAGAAAGTATCCTGCCTCCTAGTTGTTACATCAAACTCTTGAGATTAAGACGTCTTTGGAAATAAAGGATTTATTGAGCTATATAAATGGTAGCTGGAATGTGAAGGGCCAGTCTTGGGACAAATTCCCAAAGCCACCATGGCCAGATAGCAGTTGGGGAAATGTTCACCACACCAAAAGGATCAGGATGTTTAATAATACAAGTTTGAGGAGGACAAGCACAAATCATTTGCATTGAGCCTTCACTGGTTATAGGTAAGAGAGTGGAACAGTACACGTGAACAAAGTCCTGGGATAGGAAGTTTGTCCATGAAGAAAAGTTTTGCTACTTCTTGGTTGGTTGGCTTCAAAAACAGAATGGAATGTGACCTTGATGGGTGAACTTCAGCATACAGGAAGGGATGCGGAATAGTCGTTCTTCCTTTGTTTATTTATTTCAAACTGTGAGTTAAAATAGCTCTTATCTCTCTCCTTCCTCTATTCTCTGACCTGTAATAAAATATAGGACATGTCAAAATTCTTATCATGGTCCACATCTGTCATCCCAGGCAGCCATGGTTTGATTTCTACAATTATAGTCATGTCTTTTCTAGTACTTCATGCAAGTGAAATCATTCCAGTAGGTATACTTTTGTGCCTGACTTTTTTTGCTCAACATGTGTTTTGGATCTATCTGTAGTATTATATGTACCAGTAGTTCCTTTCTTTTATGTCTAAATAGTAGTCCATTGAGTCCACATTTTGTTTATATGTTCACTTACGGTCAATATTTTCAGTTTGTTTTTTACTTTTAGCTATTATTGAAAAAACCTATTGCAAACATTCATGTGTAAGTCTTTGTGTGGCTATATGCTTTCATCTCTTTTAGGTAAATACTTAGTGAAATTACTGGCTCAAGGCTGTATCTGTCTTCCTGAGAGGCAATTAAGACAAGTGTCTGGGAATTCTAGTTGTTCGGTATCCTCTTCCACACTTGGCATATTATATTCCTAAGACTGCTGTAACCAAAGTGGTTGGTCAAAACAACAGAAATTTTTTATCTCACAGTTTTGGATGCCAGAAGTCCAAAATCAGCACAGGTAGAGGGCCCTATTATTTCTTAAACCTATAGGGACACACTTACTTGCTTCTCATTAGCTTCTTCCTTTTGGTGGTTGGTGGCAATCTTGGTGTTAATTAACTTGTAGCTCCATAATTCCAATCTCTGTCTTTGCCACATGGTATTCCCCCTGTATATCAGTATCTTCAAGTGGATTTTTTTAAAATGAGCACCCTGTCATATCGGGTTAGGGGCCCACCGTACTGCATTAAGACCATTAACTGGTTAAATTTGTGGTGAACCTATTTGCACATGGCTACGTTCTTAGGTACTAAGAATTAGGACTTCAGTATATCTTTTTTGACAGACATGAGAATCCATAATATGTTGTATTGTAAGTCTTTTAATGTTAGTTATTCCTGAGAGTGGAAAATGGTATCTTACTTTCTTAAAAAAATCTTTTATTATGAAATCATTTCAGACTTAAAAACTGTTGCAAAAATACAAATAATTTATGAATAGCTTTCACTTGGAGTAACATTTTGCCATACTAGTTTTCATTCTTTCTCTTTCCATGTGTGCATGTATGTATATCTGAACTATTTGAGCAAATGTTATAGATAGGATTTAACTCTTAAGTATGAAAGTGTGTGTACAAGTCCTAAAAAAGAAAGCCATTAGCTTATATAACCAGAATTATCAAAATGGTGAAACTTAACTGATATACTATCACTGTTAATCTACAAAACTTATTATATCTTGCCACCTTTCCCATAATTTTCTTTATCTAGTCCAGGATCTAATCCAAATCACACTTTGCATTTAGTTACTGTATCTTCTTAGTCTCCTTTAAACTCCGGTAGTTCCTCACTCTTCTTTTGAAGACTTAGATACTTTTGAAGAGTATAAGCTAATTTGTAGAATCTTCCTCAATTTGAATTTGCTTGATGTTTGGTCATTATTTCAGATTCCAATTTTTTAATTAAAATCTAAATGGCTGATATACTAACATGATTCAAAATTCAAAAAATATAAGTATGTACTTAAACAAAATACACCTGCTTCCTACCCTTGTCTCCAAGCGTTCCTGTAGAAGAGGATAATAGCAATTTCTTATGCCTTCCAGAGATGACTGTAGAAATTTTATGTGTGTGTGTGTATATATACATATCCCATAATATTTTAGCCAGTTGGTAACAGTTAATACTAATTAGGCTCACTGGTTTGTTTTTTTTTCTTTTTGTACTAGGAATCGAACTCAGGACCTTGCACTTGCCAGCAGGCACTTGTGCTGCTGAGCTATATCCCTGGCACTAATTAGGATTCAGTACTTCATGTTTTAGTTTATATTTTTTGTACTTTACACTGTAATATTGTGGAGACCTGTCCATATTGGTACATATGTAAGAAGCTTGTGTCTTCTATTGTGTGCATGTGCTTATTAACCAGACATTTGATATCAGCTGACTGCAGATATTTCTTTAATTTTCTTCTCCATCTCAGAATGACTGGCCACTTAGAGCTGTGCAGCACGTAACGGGAAATGAATGACTAATTAGAAGCTGTAAGTTGAATGAAATTTTGGGACGTATTTGTGCCAAATTAGAGCCATTTTCCTGTATCCATCTTTTTGTTTCATCCTTCCTTTATGGCTATGCATTGCTCAAGTATGACTTTATTTTTGCCTTTAAATGTTTTCCTGAGTATAAATATTAGGTATATAGCCTCATCACCTCTTGTATTCTTTTTTTAGTAGTGAGGACTGACCTAGGGTCTTTGTACTAAAGTATATCCCAACCCCTGCCTCCTTTTGTGACAGTGTCTCACTAAGTTACTAAATTTCCATTACTGGGCTCAGACTTGAGATCCTTCTGCTGCAGCCTTCAAGTATGCTGGGATTATAGGTAGCTACCACCATGCCTGGCTTCATACAGCCTTTTTTAAACTCTAGGGGTTATAACATAAAATTCCAGTCTCTAACCCTCAAAAACAACTGATATACTTTCCTCTAGCAGTTTAAAATACCAATCTGCATCTTTTGCCTATTTGGGTTATTTTTGTACAAAAGAGACCTTTTATACAATGTGGACAGTAAATCTTTGCCATAAGTTGTCAGTATTGTTTTATGACATTTTTCTTTTAAATTTGTTTATTACATCTGCTACAAATAAGTTTTATGGAGTTATATTTATTTTCCTTTGTTTGTCTGAGAAGTCCTATTACGGAAGGCTTTCTGTACCCCAAGGTTACATAAATGTCTTTTTTTGTTTTCTTTTTTTATTTGTTTTCTATTACTCATAATTTTAAATTTACACCCTTGAGCTGTCTCTGATTTCTTATATATGTTGTGAGATGGGGATCTAACTTCAGTCAACATGATGAGGTGGGCATTTCATCCATCTATTCATTAAACAGATATTCAGCACCTGCCTACCCTGTGTGGAGCAGGGTTCTGAATAGTGAGAAGGCATCAGTGAATAAAATTCGCAAGGTCTTCTTGTAGGTCTTGTTGGGAGGCAGACTGTAGAGAGGAAATATTGAGTCTGGAGGATAACTACAAGAGCTGGGGAAAA